CCTGCAGGAAGGGAGAGCACGGGTCAGGCCCAGGTGCACGGGGGCCTGTCCTGCCCCTAGGCCGCCGTGGGACCCCCCCGATTCTTACCCGCTTTGGGAGGTTTGCCAGCGGCCCCGGGATACAAGAGTCCTGCGGCGGAGAAGGGCAGCAAGTCAGTACCGTGCACGGCCTGTGCCCACTGCGTCCCCGGGCTGCAGCCAGCCCTGGGGGTGCCCCCAGTAGGGACAGCTCCTGCATCCCTCCCGATACGGGCACGGCACCGTCCCCTGCCCGCGGCCAAGGCCTCCCTGGGGCTGCAGCCCTGGGTGCCTCTTTGGTGGTGGCCCCACAACACGGCAGGGTCACCCCTGCCCAGGGTGCTGCCGAAGCCCCCGGGATGCCCCCACTCCCTCGAGCCTCCCATGCCGTGTCCGGCCAGCGTCACTCACCAGCACCAAGCCCACCAGGTACAAGGCCACCAACTCCAAGGCCACCGACTCCAAGAGCACCTGCAGCAAGGAGCCAGGGTGAGGGTCTGGGGGACAGGGCAGCACAGTGCCACGGGCACGGGGGCTATGGGGACAGTTTGCAGTGGGCGCAATAGCCTCATGGCCTTTGACACGTGGGAGCTGGGGGAGAGCAAGCGTGGGCAGATCCACCCTGGTAGCACCTGGCCTTGTCCTTGAAGGATGATGCCGGGGCAGAGGGACCCGCATGGGACATCTCTGCTCCAGATGGGGCCATGGCAGCTGCCAGGTGCCAGGTTAGGGGGCTCGACCCACTGCCCCAGCCCCAGACATGCCCTGGTCTTCCTTGCCCCATGCCCTTGGGGAGCACCCGCCACGCAGAGACCCCAACGCTCCCACTGGATCCTACCTGGGAGGCCACCAACCCCTGGGACACCGACACCGGGAACTCCTGCCAGAGAGAAGACACGTGAGCCTGCCTCCTCCCACAGCTCAGTGTGAGCAGAGAGCACCCAAGGGCTCTGGGCAGCCCTTGCCCCAGACAGGGCTTGGCATGCTGGGGCGGCCCTGGTGCCCACCCTGGGGACCCTGACGCGCCATGCAGCAAGGCAAGACTTGCACCGCTCCGCACGCTCAAGCCAACCCAAGGCAGACTGGTGGACAAGGATCCAGTGATCCAAAACCACCAGGTTGCCCGGGTAAGCCTAAATCCTTCATCCTTGGCCAGAGTGGCTCGCGGGTGACTAGTGGGCCAGGATCTTGAAGCAGATGGCATCAGGGAACTGGGTGCTACAGGAGATGCTGGCTAAGAAAGCCACGAAGGGAAGAGCCAGCATGGCTGTGGACACCAGAAGGCCTTTCCATGCCTTGTCGCAGCGAGGACATGAGCGAGAGCAGCAGCAACAGGCAGAGCAAGGCCCTGACCCCACAAGCACGACAGGAAGGCAAGAGCCAAGGGGTGGATGGAGGAGAGCGGTGAAGGGCCAAGGTGGGCAAGCGCGGCGGTGTCACGAGGTGCCTGGGTGAGCGGGCTGGGGAGGGAGGCAGAGATACGCACCAAATTTGGGAGGCTTAGCACCGGGCTGCACCCCAACCTGGGGGATGCCTGCAAAGCGAAGATGGGCACCGTCCTCACGCTTGTCACCGCCACAGTTCCCACGCCGTCCCCGGCCGGGGCGCAACGAGGCACCTACCTGCTCCAGGGAGAATGCCGGTACCGGGTACTCCCACCCCCGGCACCAAGCCTGGCACAGCACCCACGCCGCACTCCTGGCACTCCAGGAGCGCCAGGCACAGCGCCTGGCACCCCTCCGACCCCAGCACCTGCCGAGAGAGCGGGATGAGGATGGCAGCTCGGGCAGGCCGCGTGGCGGGTGCCACCAGGGCGATCCCGCCCCACGAGCTCCCTTGCCCGTGCTGCAGCGCGTGCACGTGGGCATCCACGAGCCCAGCAAACAGCCAGCGTGCCCTGGAGCTCTCGCTGGGCTGCTCTCCTGTGCAGGAGGAGCGGGCTGTGCTGGTGACTCACCAAATTTCGCTGCCTTAGCTGCCGCTTTTGCCGCTGCTGCTGCTGGAGCTCCGACCCCTGCGCAGAGATAGCGAGACATGGTCAGCGTCACCTGGGTGAGCCCGACGCAGCCCGCCCGGCACAGCCTGTCCCTCCCGCCTGGTCTGCCCAAGGGATGGCTGGAAGAGGGAGACCATGGAGGTCTTCCTCACACCCACCCTGCCCCAGAACTGCTATTGCACCAGCCCAGTTGCCACCTGCCCCCTTCCTACTTGGCCTCAATGGACTCCTTGAGGGCATCACACCCTGATGGCAACAAGCAGGAGGGAGGCACGGGAAGGCAGGGATGTATTTAAGGACAGGCCAGGGGACGGTGCAGGCAGCCCCAATAGATCATCAGGCAGCAAAAACACCCCCTCGTTTCCTTCCTGCAGGAGGAAAGGAGCTTACCTGGGATGGCACCAACGCCAGGGGCCAGGCCACCCACACCGGGAACCAGGCCACCTACACCAGGAGCCAGGCCACCTACACCAGGAGCCAGGCCACCCACACCAGGAGCCAGGCCACCCACGCCGGGGGCCAGGCCAGCTGCTCCTGCAGAAAGAGAGGGAAGGATCAGCATGGGGAGAGAGCAGGTGGAAGGCGGCTGGCTGCGGCCGGGGCGGCATGGCAGGCTGGGGTGTGCGGTGGGGTGGGTGTTGGGGTGGAGGGATGCAGACGCACGAGGAGGTGGGTGCGGTAGGTGGAGGAGCCGCTGTGCAGGGCAGCTCTCTGGAGAGCATCCTGTGATGCCGGATCAGCTGAGCACTCATGCTGTGATGCCCAGACTCGCCGGCGCCCCATGCAGCGCCCCCGACCAGGGCATGCAGGCAGCAGGAGGCACATGGCAGCCACCCCGGCGAGTTCCCACCTTACCATACTTGGCTGCTTTGGCGGCTGCTTTGGCAGCGGCGGCTGCTGCGGCCGGGCCTCCAACTCCTGCGAGACAGGGGGAGCGTGTGGCAGGGGCGGCACGTGGTGCCTGTGCCAGCAGCCCAGGGGCTGCACATCCTCCCGCTGTGCCCCAGGCCCGGACAACGCCGACAACTGTTTTACCTGCTATTCCGGGTGCCAGGCCAGGCACCAGGCCACCAACTCCAGGCACACCGACTCCCGGCACGCCAACTCCAGGTACACCGACTCCCGGCACGCCAACTCCGGGCAGGCGCCCTGCTCCTGCAGAGAGGCTCCGTGCTGAGGGCAGGGCAGACGAGCCGCCTCCACGGCCCAGCGTCGCGCGGGACTAAACCAACTCACCGACTGCTGCGGCTTTCGCTGCCGCCTTCGCTGCAGCTGCTGGGGCACCTACTGCTGAGACAGCAGAAGGGGAGAGAGGCAGGGGGAGGAGAGAGGGCCAGCAGCAAGCTGGCAACTCCTGCCAGTCCAGTCCACGGGCTCACCTCCTGGGACAGCAGGGACGCCGGGCACCACGCCGGGAACCCCAGCCACACCAGGGACACCGGGCACGCCAGGAACGCCAGGTACACCGGGAACGCCAGCCACGCCGGGAACACCAGCCACGCCAGGAACACCAGGAACACCGGGAACACCGGGAACACCTGCAATTCCAGGAACTGCACCCGGAACACCAGCTCCTGCAGGGAATGAAGGGTGAGTGAGGCTGGCTCGTGTGGCAGCACCAGCCAAAACACAGGACGCAGAGGCAGATCCTCTCTTGTCACAGTGCCAGGATGGGAGGGTGCTCCATCACCCTGGCCTTGGCCAAGAGAGATGCCCTGCCCAGCAGGGCAGAGGCACTGGCCCTGTGTCTCCCAAGAAGACCCAGCGAGGATGTTAAACCTGCAGGAATTTTATGAGGAGGGGCCAAGAACCAGGGTGAACTGCAAATGCAGCCCGGCTGGGCAGACAGCAGGACCTGGTGGGATGTCACCAGGCCAGCAAACCATGCGACAGGGAACGGAGCACAGCAGTACTGCGTGGTCGGGCTCATGGTGAGGTCAAGGCTCAGAGGAGAAGGGGTTGATTGCACCAAGTAACTGTCGAGAAGGGCTGGCTGCTTGGACACCAGCCAGCCTGGGAAGCTGCTGAGGGTGGCTACAGCCTTCATCTTCTGGACCTCGTTTATGCAACAGAGGGAAGTGCTTGGTCACATCTTGTGGAGAAGCCTAGAGCCAGAGAAGTTCTCTGCATGGGGCCCTTGCCCTGCCACATCCCCAGCACTGCCAGTGGAACTAGGGTCAGAACACACAACAGTTAAATTCTCCCAGTTTCTCCCTAAATCCCAGCATTCTCCATGCCACCATTGAGATTTCTCACACGATGCAAGAGAGAAAGCAATGAAATGGAGAGGAAGGGTTGAGCTTGCAGGGGAACACTGCCATCTGGACAGATGCTTCACGGAGGGCACTCAGACCTTTACAACAGCTACTGGGACGAAGCTGAAGGAACTCCTGGGATTGGGTCACTGCACCCGGCCCCACCATGCAACCTCTTTCACTAACTCTTCAAGCAACACATGGAGCCTGCAGCTCCAGATGGAGCCTAGGGCCACTTTTAAATCCTCTTTCTGTCTGACCTTTCAGTTTCCCTGCCGCTCAACAATCTCCCTTCTCCTGCTCTGAGCTCCTGATCCCTGCAGGAGTCTGCGGAAGGGCTGTACTTGTCAGAGGCCTGGGTTTTGCTCTGCCGAGTCAGATGGACTTGCCAGAGCCTCTGTCTAACCAGATTTCCCTTCATCACCTCCCTCAGGTTCCAGGCTTGCAGAGGCTCTTGATGGAGCTCACTTCTGTAACCAGGAGCAACCAGAACCGAATGCAGGATTTCTGCTGTCAAATCTCCACTGCTAGAATTTGCAGATAACTGCAAAATTGGAGGAGTTAGAAAATATATCAAAAAATGGAATCAGTTCTGGCCTGCACAGGGTGTTGGCCCATGGTGTAGTCCAGTTTTGGTTGAACACCCAGGGGAAAAAAATAGATCCCACCAGAAAGAAAATTTTGGAAGGTGGCACCCCTGGAAAGGGCTTGGGGAATCAGCCTGGAACCAGCTGGAACAGAGACTCCCAGGGCAGCGATGCCCAGCAGGACTGCTGGGACCTCAACCCACCTGTGCGGTGAGACAGAACCCAGATGACCCAAACCCCAGGGCCAGATCTGATGCTCATACTGAAAAAATAAAAAAGGATTTGGAAAAAAAGGTGAGGATTCAGTCAAGATCAAAAGAAGCAAGAGCAGCCTCATCCCTTTGTTCCTGCAAAGCACCAGCAGTGCCACAGTCTGTAGAAATCCCAGGGTGAGAGACAGCCCACCGTGGGGTAAAAGCAGGACTGGATGGCGCAGCGGAAAGCACTGGCTCCCTAATGGTTCCTCACCATGAGCCGTTTGGAGAGATCTGCACGGGAGACCCACCGGCCTGGAGCAGCCTCATCCCTCAGCCGGAGGAGAGCGGGGAGATGCAGCCGTGCCCCAAGGAGAGGTCCCCAGGATAACCTGGCCTCACAGCGGGATGTGGAGAGGGGTTTGTTCCCACTTACCAAACTTAGCTGCCTTTGCCGCTGCTGCTGCTCCTGCCGGTGTCCCAACTCCTGGGGACAAGGAGAGAGGGACCTTTAGAAACCTGCTTCCTGCTCCCCGCTGAGACACAAAGCATGGGCAAAGCTCTTGGGAATAGTCACCTGCCACCCCGGGGACACCTGCAACGCCGGGCACCAAGCCGGGGACTCCACCGACGCCAGGCACTAGCCCTGGGACAGCGCCAACGCCGGGCAGGACCCCTGCGCCTGGAGGGAAGCAAAGCAGTGAGACCCCGCACACTTCCCAGCCCCAACACGCAGCGACATGCGGTGCCCTGGGCACAGCACAACCCAGAGCAAGGCCTTGGCCAGGCCCTACAGCCTGGCACCAGTGTGGGGGAGCAACGAGAGCTTCTCCAGCTGCTGCACCACGAAACCCTCCACGAGCAGCGGGCGGGCAGGGGCAGCCCCGTCCACCGCACTCAGCCCCCGCGGGGGTGGATGGAGCTCCTGGGCATGGAGTTCCCCCTCTGCAACGTGAGCTGTAGGGCACACGGCATCAAGGAGACATGCCCGTTCTGCACCTCTCCAACCTCGCTGCTTCCTCCTCGGCATGGGCACCGCCGGCTTCCCGGGGAGCTGCAGGGGCAAAGCTGCCCTGCGGGTGAAGCTGGAGCAGCAAAGGGCTCTCCGCAGCCCCCCTCAAACCTGCTGCTCTTCTAAGGCCCCTGGTGTCCCCAGGAGCCTCCCCCAGGAAGCCAGTGCAGGCGCCGGGCTATGTCCGTGCGTGCGGGGATCTGGGCTGTGCACACACATTCCCACAGGATGGCACGGGGTGGCCTTTCCTGGAGCAGCGAGTCCTACGGGCTCCGCGCTGCGCGGCCAGGGCCAGGCGCTGCCCTGGGGCTCAGCCCTTCCAGGGAGAACGTTCCTGTGCACAGGCTCCTGAGCTGGGCTCTGCCCTGGCTGGGAGCCACCGCGGCTTCAGCGCCGCCATCCACGGAGAGCCCGGGAAGACCCTTCAGGAAACACCGGCAACACCGTGCACCCCTCACACACATCCAGGCAGGGGATTCCCAGCTCCTTGCGCACAGGCCCGTGGCCTGGAGCCTACGCAGCTGCCTGGGAGCTGCTGGCAGCTGGAGGGACCGGCTGCCCCGCAAGGACGTGCTTGCAAATCCCAGCTGCTCCCAGCGCTGACGCATTTCCTCTGGACGCTCCAATGAGCGACTGTTGGCTACTCCCTTTTCTCCTGTGAAACAGGCTTCCCTGGCCAGCAAGAGGAGCAGCGAACAGGAGAGCGCGTAACCAGCCACATCCCTCTGCTAACGAACAGCAGCTCGTTAGAGACTCCATCTCTGCAGAGATGCAGAGCGAAACCGCAGCAACTGTCAAGGCCTCCCGTCACGCAGCACTTGGACTTGCCACATCTGTTACAGCAGAGCAGTGCGTGACAGAGGTTTATGGCTCCACATCAGGACCACTGCCATGTCCTCCACTGCCTGCGCCACTGCCTGCGTGTCCCAGCACCCGGCTGCGGCGCCTCGGGGCGGACACCTCCCGGTCACCACAGGGAGAGCTGCCTTCCCAGCCCAGATAGCCAAGCAGCTGCTGCCTCCTGCCCCCGCTGTCTCACTGAGCTGCGGAAAGCTCCCCTTCCAGGTGACAAAGCTCCTCTCCAAGTCCTGCAGGTGCAATACCTTGCTGCCCGTCCGCATGCAGAAGCCACCGTTCCAACAGCCTGAACTGAACCTGCCCTAAGCAGCGGCTGTGCAGGGCCCGGGGCCGGCAGAGCGGCCTGGGCAGCGGGCAGAGGCTGAGCGGAGGGCACGCTGAAGCTGTGTAGCCTCTGGCGCTAACGTGTTGCTCTGCTGTGTCGTAAGGCCGCGAAGCACAGCAGAGAGCAAGCTTGACCCTGCAGGCAGCTGCCAGGCTTGGCCAAGAAGCCAACCATGCTGGGAACTCACCGTACGCTCCCGCTTTCGCTGCCGCCTTCGCTGCTGCAGCTGCCGCTGCTGGCCCTCCAACTGCCGGGGTACCAGGGGACAGAGTCAGTGGGGTGGCATGAGGGGGGCACGAACCTCCAAGTGCCAGCACTATCGACTCACCTCCAACTCCTGGGATGCCTCCAACGCCAGGCACCAAGCCGCCGACTCCTGGAATGCCTCCAGCCCCGGGCAGGACGCCGGCTCCTGTTGCAAGGGAAGAGGGGACCGTGAGCTCCTTGCGGCTGCAGATGCAGAGGGTGTCTGGAGGCAGGATCCAGCGGGGACCTCCCTCCATGGGGCATGGGGGCCTTCAAGGCCCTAGAGGTGCCTGAGCTAGACGACTCACCATATTTAGCTGCTGCTTTCGCTGCCGCCGCCTGTGCTCCAACTCCTGCAAAAGCACGTGAGGAGAGGTTGAGGCCTCAGGACTGTTTGTCCTCCGTCCACCCCCAGCCCGTGGGCACTTCAGGGACCATCTCCTCC